AGTTCTTCGAAGTTAGTTTCATCTGGGCGGATGGAGTTCTCCACGGATTCAAACTCGGGACGAAGACCCTCCAGGGCTTGAATGGCAAAGTCTTCATCGTCAACAGGTCGGCCGGCCATGGCTAGTTCATCCGCGAGGGTGCGAAGGTGCTGAAGATATTCTGCTACAGGTTGCGACCCCTGTTTAGCATGGCGGAACTGGTCTTTAAGACTTCGAATTTTGGAAGCTGACCGGGTCCCGTATAAGCGTTCCAGTGTTTTCCAGACGAAGGCGGAGGTCTTTGCAGACCCAACCAGCGGTTTGCAGGCGGAACTGAGAGAAGATACAAGAGCGTGCCGCACCAGACGATCCTGTCTCTTCCATCGCAGAAAGTTGGCAGCTTCAGTTTCTGGAGGAGGACTAATTTTTTCATCAATATACTGATCTAGATGAGACCCGAACAGAAGGTCCATTACTTGGTCCCTCCATACAAGGTAATTTGATCCATCTAGTTTTTCTGGGAATTGGTTAGGGCTGAGCATAACAAGGCCATCCGGGGTTAGGGGATTATTGGCTGAGAGAGATGATGTTGAGTTATCATTCACGTCTTCTGGACTTTTGTCTCTATTATTTTCATGAGCCATGGGCAGAGAAAGGTGATGCGGGGGATAGTTCAGTGAAGAGAATAGGCCGTTTAGGCCTCTAGAGGCTCTGATACCATAACAAAGTTTAGAATAAGGAGGAATTGAGACTGAAAAGCTTAATTCATTCCATGAAATAATATCCTATTTATACAACATTTTAGAGCTAGGCTACTAATTATAATATTAAATACAAAGATTTGTAACTGAAATATTAAATACAAATATTCTAATTTATTTTGTAACTCATGTAACTGATCTCTAGAGCTGTCTAGACTCTTCTTTCTATATGAATGAGTCCTATTTTCATAAAGAAAAAGAATGATGGTCCTATTTGAAAAAATGTGTTATGATATAGTACTTCATATAAAAGCAGATATTGAAGAGTAAACAACAAAATACAATACATACTGATTCATTTTACAAGATATCTAATTTGATAATTTGTGAAATTTCAATAATATTAGTTTCAGAAAGACTCTTTCTCTGAAACTCAAGTGTTAGCACTGTACTCTTAAGAGCTTCCGCACTTAAGATTGAGTTGAAATAAATGCACTTCGCTTAGTTACAATCAACTACTTACCCATAAACCTCCCAGAACACGCTTAGCGAATCTCCAAAGGACAGTCAAACGCCTTTGCCACTTCCGGCCCAGCTTAAATACAGCTGCTTTGAGTGATTCCTTTGAAGATATAAGAAGCCGGCCAAGTGAACCATCTTTATTATTTTTAAGAGCAGCATTATCACCAGCAGACTTGATGCTATTACCGCTGGTAGAAGTTTCAGGTTGGGATTCCAGAAGGTCATAGTCGGCCTTCCAAAAATTTGGAGCAGGTTTACCCCTCCAAGCTCCAGTAGTGATCCAGTTCAACCATAACTTTGCTGCAAGGATTACCGATCCATCTTCTACAACATGTATGACTTTAATAATTTCAGTATTACTTTTGTCGCCAAGGGCATTAGCTTCATAATACTCAGTCTCATTCTGGAGCCACAAGCCAGAACTGGTAATCTGCAGCAAGAGACAGTATCTGGTAACTTCAAATTATAAATCCATTTAACCAACATATTACATCAGACCATGCAAAGCATAAGCTAAAACAACAACCTTGATTTGAATTATTTGTGCATTTGATATGTTCACTTTTGACAGCTCACTTGAACAACCAGGCTGCAAATCAATAAAATCCGCAATTTAAAACTCCCGAACAACTGTAAGTGTCAAGCCACTATTAATTCTACAATAATAAAAGCAGAAACATCACCAAAGACTACATCTCCGCAATCCACAATTTCTTCATCTATAGAAGGGAATAAAATTTAATTCCAGAAAGTCATCGGAAAGCAAAAGGCAGGACTAACGGTACCTGCTGGACATAGTTAGCGTGCATAACAACGAGAATACAGAAGAGAACGACGGCGATGAAGAGGTAGAGATACTCAAGCGTGGCTCGAATCCTTGGACTCAGCATCTGAGAGAACCGCTCCTGTACCCGTATAAACGTTTGTTCCGGATCCATCGATTATACTCCTAATCTCCTATATACACACACAGATAAATGCGTCCATACAGGTGCCTTAGTTTTCTGTTTTACGTATTTTTGAACATCAAGACGACCGTATACGCTCAAAGTCAAGCGTACAAATTCACGACACAAAAAACACGGCGTTGTTAAACATCGGCTTCTTCAGAGAAATCTAAATAGGGACTATACGTTCGTCTGTTTTGCTGATCGGAAAGCTTACTAGGGGTTTGGTTAGTGCTGAGTTCGAAGCTGAGAGTTTCTTCCCCAAAGTTAGAAGATGGAAGCTGAAAGTAGGATAACCGCGACTGAGCACAAATGGGGCCCGGTGTATCCATTTTCTCGATAAATTTCTAACATACTATCAATTTTTCCCCATACCCCTGCCATTTAGTATATTATCCTTGGACCCGATATTTTGTTTCGGATTCTGGTGCTATGTCCATTGTGAAAATCAGTTAACTTTAAATCCTCCGACCTGTAGTAACTTAGTTAGTTAGTAACGGATTTGACAAGGGGCATGAGAAGGGCATTAGGTCGTATTTGGAGTGGTAGTGGGTACTGAGTGGGTGGTGTGATAGTGTGGTTTAGTTGGTTGACAATTACACATTATGTATACATTTAGCTTATTTTATTTGTCTACATACATACACACAATTCATATTGAAATTACAATTTGTGTATTCATATAAAAATTATTTGTATACGAATAATTTTGCCTATGTAAACAATGGAGGCCGTTTGGCAACCCTCATTTTCGGCTTATCAGGCTTATCAGCCAACTTTTTTACCAAACACGTAAATTTTGCTTTCGCGCGCTGAATTGTGTAATAAGCCGAAAAAGTAAGATTGAAGTTACTTTTCTGGCTGTATTGGTTGAAGTTACTATAGATGACCATTTTAGCTATTTTTACATATAATTTTTTCTTTATTTTATTAATAAAATATATTTTAAATATATTTTTTTCTTGTATCAGCAGAATCAGCCAATGCAGCCACTTCAGCCAGAACTTCATAAATTTCAGCAGAATCAGCCAAAACAGCCGATTTTCGTGCTGCCAAACGGGCTCAAGATGTGTAAAAGATGTACACAAAAAGGTGCATAACAAACATTTTTTGACAATTATATTGTCTCCACATTGAGAGAGTTAATTACAGGACTCAAATCCCATAAGAAGTCAAAAATCAATAAGGTCTTTCTTTTAATGATTTTTTTACCTTAACGGTGTATTAGAATTTATGTGCCCTTAAACTTTAGTGGGTAGTTCACTAATTCAAGACTCCTAGATTATATGAGCACAAGCATGGACGTCTGAATCATAAAAAAGTGTATTTGATGTTTAATACCTATCTGGGATATTCTTTTCTATAATATGTTGAAATGAATTTAGTTAATACGTAGTATATCCTTTGTCCGTTCCAAAATTTGGTGTTTGTCTTTCTTGTTCATTTCAAAAATTAAGTAAATTATATTGTTTTTGTAAGTTTTTTTAAATATAACATAATCATGTAATTTCATTTTCTCAACACACATCAAAGAATAATAATAATCACATATGTACCTAAATTTTGACAAGTCAACTTGCAATCTTCATCTTTAATCACTATATGCTAACCGTAGATATTTTTTACATGAAAAAATCAATGAAAAATGTGACTACTTTTAAAATGTTGTAAAACTTACACAATGCACTTGACCTAGTGACACCCCATTCTTATATTATAGATGTCCATTTGTAGTGTCATTCTCGCAGAACAGTCACATTCCTCCTGTACTACAGTAATGGATATCGACATTGACACGTTAGTGACATGAATGTCAATCTTCTCCCATACAGTAGAATATCCGGCACAAATGAAGGGTAGGATGAAAAGCGAAAAACTTCGAAATTGGTGAAGATAGACACTTAGATCTGCGATCGTATATTTTTTATTGGATGACTGCTAATGGTCAAGTGCCTTACCGACAAAGCAAGACAAAGACGCCGGATCTCAGTGGCACACTCTTAACTGCCACAATAACATGCACTCTATCGTTGATGATCTCATACAAAAAAACAATGATTGCAACAACACCTTCATAGTCATCGAAAACCTTGCTTATTGCAAAATTATAGTCGCATTACCTACTATCATAAACAAAAACTCTATATTAAGAACATAGTCCACCATGTAATCATAACCATAACTATAACCGCAATCTTAACCTCAATTAAATAAAAACGTCACAGTGAATCCCGAAATGCAATTTGAACTTGGCTAACCTAACCCAACTTTGAGCCTTATTGAAATCTAAGTTTCTGCCAATGTTGAACAACTGCAGTACGAATTGGCCAACTTGACCAACTATTTCATATTCGACGATCTTCCATGGAGTTAAAAGCTTGAGCCATCACCATTGCATTCTATTTTGGAGCCATGACGAATCTGGAGTTGCAGCCTTTGAAGTGGCGTAGCCATTCTAAAAGAATATGTGATAGTGGAGCACACCATTGACCTATATCAGGGATTTAGGGTCATGTTGGTTGTGTTAAGTCCAAGGACGGAGCCAAGCCACTTGGTAAAACTAGACATGTACAAAGAATATTTTTTTAAAAAAGTTACATAGAATTTTTACCTTAAAAATTTAAACATTTGTTAAATTTGGTGTAGGTCGAAGCCTAGGTTGGCGCCCAATCCCGCCCATAGATTCTGCTTTTGTAGTAAGGTAGGGTGTCTGACATTTTCAGAATTGTCGGATAAAAATCAAATATCTCAGGGCAGAGATCTTGGGGTCCACATTTTCAGCTATTTCAAGGCATCTTCATTGTCATCCTACTGTCCATCGCGACAAGGCACTCTATCTTACGGCAAAGAATCCCAATCCAATAGAAATTGGTCATATTTACATCAATTGAAACTAGTCATATATAATCGTTATATCTGGCTTTCCGTTTCAATGCATACAACCATTCTATAAAAAATACACTCAGTATAAATTTATGTGAGCAAAACAGAGGATGCTAAGCCTAAACCATTGTTGTCACAGGTTTCATTATTGATTGAAGTGTACAGCAATATGCAACACATAATAAATATATACAGGTATTGATCTGTCATTGTTCAAGCAGTATCAGTGAGTGAACTTGAAGGAAGAATAGGAGAGGGAGCCATTGCTCCAGCTCTGGTGAATAAGTTCCGCCCTCGGCTTCCCCCCTGCAGCTCCGATCGCAACGTGTAGTGGGTAGAAGTGTTCAGGCCACGGGTGTGCAAGCTTTGTATGTGGCGCTTTCTCATCATAGTGGTTAACATCTTCATACCTGCACAAGATGTAAAGACATAAACTCACATAAGAAATTTTAAAAGAAATCAATCAGAGGTTTGGCCGGAAAGGGTATGGAGCATGTAGCACAACACTGTCACAAGATGGACTCTAGCATGTACCCTCCTCGGTCAGACCTTCACATAGGGTTTTCATAGCTTGTTTGGTTTACTTTTGCAGTGTGAAATGCTGGAGGATTTCCCTCATTGCAAAAAGGGGGGTAGGGGAGCTTTACAATGCAAGAGGCGAAAGAACTATGTGGGTCTGGATTGCAATGATTTAGTGGTTGAAATTAAATAACCCCAAAAAAGAGTCACATTTGGAATTGCATTAAGTAACCAAAATCACATAAGTCCAGCAAATAGTTAAAGAAAGTGTGTCATGTAGGTCCTTTTGTAGCTTAAAGAGGGATCCACATGAGTTTATCATCACATCTGGTAATGTTGGGACAATGACGGCACCATTGTTCGTAATTGCACAATGCATTGCACAATGCAATTACACCATGAGGCACCAGTCTTCAAAAATTGGGGGGGGGGGGGGGGGGGGGGGGGGGGGGGGGGAACTATAACATTTTGAGAAATTAGGGAGGTATCACAAAGCATAACTGAAATATTTAGGGGTGGGCGCGGTCCGGTCCAATATCTTACCGTACCCGGACCGTTACTATTGAAACGGTTCGGTTCGGTTCGGTCTTACACCTAAACCCGTTCGGTACGGTTCCATTTTCAAACGGTCCGGTACCAAGCCATACCAATACCAAACAATGTCATTTTTCGACAAATTAAAACTTGGTCATCACCCAAAAATCCACACAATTATCAATTTTCATATTATATAGTTAATGAATTGCATATAAACTATGAAATTCATTAACTAGACAATATTTGCAGACCGTGCGACGGTGAAATGGAGCTCTCAGTTCGAGGGTTACGTTATTTTGGGAGCGCAGGTTGAACAAGACACTATTTTGGGATTTTGGGAAAACTGGTTTGAGTATATTTTTTTAGATGGGCTAAAGTGCTAAATATGTTAAATGTAAACCTATAGTCAAACAATAGAACAAGCTTCACCACTATAAAGTCTGCCTCACTGTTCCTGCAGGCAGCTCGCAGTGAACTAGCGATTAGCAAAGTGCAAATGAGTAATCAAATTAAGGAAAAATTCCCGAAGTAGTAGTAAAAAAGTTTGAAAATTCCAAAATAGGACTGTTATATTTTTATTTCCAAAATAGGAGTAATTACTGCCAAGTTTGGAAAATATTGTCATGTTTAAAGTTTGGTACTGTCAAAATATGACAGTAATTAGTCCTATTTTGGGAATAAAAACATGAAAGTCCTATTTTGGAATATACAAATGTTTTAGTCCTATTTTGGGTAATTTCTCTCAAAATAATGATAATATGGTATACATGTATATACAATTATAAACTTATATAAATCAATAAAATTATAATTCGGTCCGGTTCGGTCCGGTACCGATTCTCATTTTATGAGAACCGGTCATGGCATGGTTTGGAACCAATCCGGTCCAGTTCGGGAAAAAAATTCTGAGAACCGTTTGAAACCCCGTTTTCCAGTCCGGTACCATACCGGTCCGGTTCAGTACCATGCCGGTTCAGTCATTTTGCTCACCCCTAGAAATATTGATACTATTATTATCCTTCAAAAATAAAGCATACACAAGGCGCCTTTATTCTTCTCAAATTTTCCGCTATCGATATTGTCATCAAAATATCCGCAAATATTTCCATAAATTTGAAAAGGTGGTATGGACTCCTTAGAATAACTATGATACGAGGATTGTGATCCCTGTAATTTCATGAATTGGGAATCCAGGGAATTTCCTAACTCCGAGGTTTTTCAATCCCACGCAAATATGAGATTGAAAAAGAAGACATTCCACATGGTCATAGTCAGAAGTAGAGACTTTTGGAATATCACCATATCACTAGTCAAATGGCATAAAAGTGAAAAATACAGGCCATGTTTTTATGGCCAAGATCATTAAATGCTAACTGATATATACTTGTCATATCTGAATAGTATTGATGTTGTGGATAATTGATAGGACTCCGGCAGAATAGCACTAATAATAATAAGAGTAATAATAATATTAGAATAGTTAGTATAAATAGAGGTGGATGGTAGAATAGAAGAGAGGTTGGAATTATCATTTGGGCTTGGGATTTAGGAGTTGGAACTGCCTTGTATTTTCTCTCTATTTTCTGTTATATGAGCTACCTCCATTGTTACATATCTTGATTTCTTCCATAGTTAGCTCTCTCAAATTAGTGTAAACTGGTCTCTACCCTATCATTGGTATCAAAGAGTCGTTCCTGCCATGGTTGATACGCGCACAAAGATGGAAGAAAGACTGGAAAGTCTGGTACGCGACCGCAAGGAGATGCGGAACAGTATCGAGGGGTTGCTGAAAGATAGCGACAAGGTGAGAAGAGATATCGCCGAGTTGCGCAAACTGATTCTGCAGCAGAACGCTCAACATGAGGGAAGAAGTTCAAGAAACTCAAGGAGCCACACTCAACATGACTGTCCTTACCGATCGTCTCAATCGCTAAATTCGCAGGTCACATCGCTCGAAACTTCTCGCCGTTCACATGCTCCATCGCAGAATTCTTCGCAGGTTCTGTCACCAGCTCTCAGTTCGTGTCAAAATGCGAATCGATCGAGGGAAGAATTTCCCGGTTCGCAGTTGCGAACAGTTCCTCCAAGTTCGCAGACGCGAACAGTGCTTCTATGTTCGCAGATTTCGTTGAGTTCGCAAAGTTCATCGCTGTTTGATTCGCTGGGTTCGCAAGATTCGTCTCAGGCGCTAAAAGTTGCTACCAGTTCGCCGCGGTTAAACGAGCATAACCAATGGTCATCGCAAGTCAATTCTCACCATGCGCAAATCTCAGCGACGACACTGAACTCCATCGATTCTCACCCTGCGCAAGCTATAGACCTCGTGGAATCAGGAAGTGGATCGCCATCGACAACACTGAAGACTGAGTCCCAGTCAGAAATCACCAGTTCGCAGTTGCTGGCTTATTCTTACGCAGCTTCTCAACTTGCACAGGTTTATCTGGAATCGAAAACCGAGTGGAAATAGGCTGCACCAACAGTTATGGAATCGGATCATGAAGAGGATGTTAATCAACGCAAGGGAATTTCATCAGACAATATGGAACTATGGAAGGTTCCGAAGCACATAAATCAGATATCCTTACCTATGATGCCTGGAGATATCAAGATTCTCTGTAAAAGAGATGAGAATTGGAAAAGGGGTAACATGGTTCACAACCTCACTAATAGAAGGACGGAGAAGTATGTTGCTGATGCTGACAGCCAGGACCAAGCTACGGTGGGTAAAGATGTTGTATTATTCCAGGGTACCTTAGCAAGGCAATTGAGGAAGAATGATCCACAGATTAATGCAATTGAAGGATCAGACTTCACTCACTCAAAGGTCAAATCTGGGATGACAGTTACGGGCAGCAGTTTGATGCTTTCTCCAATTTGGTACTCTAATTCCGGACTGAGATGTGCTGATAAGTTTACTCTTGAATACCAGTTGAATATAATCCGTGTGGACCTGGACTTTGCAAATCAAGTTGTTGTAAGTGATGTTTCAAACAGAGAGCATCTCATGGATCTATCGTTAAAGCCAGAAATTGCTAGTGGTGTCCAAAGTGATGGAAAGTGGCTGGATGAACTGCACACTCTTTATGGAGAGGTTCAACGAGTAGTTTACACCTATATTTGTCATATGACTCAATCCAAACAGGAGACTGATTTATGGGATACACGATTAGAAGTGGGTAGCTTGTTTTGGGACCTCTTGGCTATGCTCAAATTTGTAATCAATGATGTTTTTCAACCGTTAGCTAGGGATTTTTTGAAGAGGTTTATGGATCAAACAATTGAAGTTTGTATGTGTATTCGTGAAAAGGTTAAAACTGGTTTGCTCTATGATCCATTTAGAGCTGAAATTCCTCAGACTATGTCTGCCTTATGTAAGAGACTGCTGAATTTGGATGAAGATCTTTGTAAGCAAGTTGCTGTTGCTCTTTATTATGTAGCATGCTGTGCCTTATCCTCCATAGATTTTGAAAGGATCAAGCTCTTTGCTGAGAGTCTTAGAGACAAATATTTGCTGGAAAGTTTCAAGTATGATTGGATCTCTGGGAAGATGTCTGGGAAGATGTTGATCTGCTATTATAACGGGGAATTCAAATCAGATGCTTTTGAACTGATTCCAGGTCTCGATCAAATTAAGGTCAATTCTTTGGAAAAGATGTGGGAACAAAAGCAAGGGATACAACAGGAGATGCAGACACAGGGAGAATTTTACACCAGGGAACATGGTGCCATCATGCCTTTACTTCTACTCTTTCCTGCTGAGAAGGACTTGAGGATGAAGGTTCCAGTACCAAAGCTAAAGGCACAAAATTCAGTGAGATATTGGGAAGGGAGAGGCGCCAGGATGAAGATAAAGTTGAAGATCAAGGCGGATTCCTATCACCCACCTTGAGGACAAGGTGGATGTTTAAGGGGGGAGATATGATAGGACTCCAGCAGAATAGCACTAATAATAATAAGAGTAATAATAATATTAGAATAGTTAGTATAAATAGAGGTGGATGGTAGAATAGAAGGGAGGTTGGAATTATCATTTGGGCTTGGGATTTAGGAGTTGGAACTGCCTTGTATTTTCTCTCTCTATTTTCTGTTATATGAGCTACCTCCATTGTTACATATCTTGATTTCTTCCATAGTTAGCTCTCTCAAATTAGTGTAAACTGGTCTCTACATGGTCATAGTCAGAAGTAGAGACTTTTGGAATATCACCATATCACTAGTCAAATGGCATAAAAGTGAAAAATACAGGCCATGTTTTTATGGACAAGATCATTAAATGCTAACTGATATATACTTGTCATCTGAATAGCATTGATGTTGTGGATAATACACCTAATAAACTTCACAGATAGAAAAC